TGATGGAGAGATTGTTGCCTTTACACCATGTCACCAAGCTATCTCCTTTCTGTATTCTGTCTTGTCATTGTTTGAAATCTGACCCATTTATGGTGGTGTCATCAGATAATTTGTAAATGGAGTTAGCACTGAATCTGGCCACATAGTCATGATTATATAAGAGGCTGAGTACGCCACCTTGCGGGACGTGTGTTGAGGATTATCAAGGAGGAGGTATTATTGCCTATCCATGCTGTTTGTGGTCTGTGGGTCTGGAAGTCGTGGATCCAGTTACAAAGGGGAGAGCTGAGACCTAGGTTTCGGAGTTTGGAGAGGAGTTTGGTTAGAATTATGGTGTTGAAGGCAGAGCTAAAGTCAATAAATAGGAGTCTGACGTAGGTGTCCTCATTATCCACATGTTCCAGGGATGAGTGTAAAGCTGGGAGGTAGACAATCTGGGAGGCTGGAATTGATGTGTGCCATTACAGACCTCTTGAAGCTCTTCATAATGATGGATGTCAGGGCCAGTGGGTGGTAGTCTGATTTTTCTTTGACACCGGAATTATGTGGTGTTCTTGATGCAAGTGGGAGCCTCACATTGGAGTTAGGGTGAGGTTACAAATATCTGCAAATACTCCCACCAGCTGGTCCACGCAGGATGTGAATGCATGGTTAGGACTCTATCTGGGCCAGTCACTTTCTGTGGGTTCTGTATTTGCAACATAGTAAAATTAAACATTTCAAAACCCTCAAAATTGACCCCAGTGGTTTTTGACCAGACTCTTTTTTTTTTGAATAACCAATCCCAGACTTTGGGAATAATCAATTTTTGACATCGTTTGTTGCTGAAACAAAAATCTTGTCAATTTATTGACAACACAGTAATTTTAGCAGAGCAGAAAATTAAATAACAAAGGAATCTAATTGGTCTATGTTTTCAACCCAACAGCCTTTGTATTCAGTCCCATTCACACAAAAGACAGGCAAGCAAACACAGTTAATGGATAAGTAAAACATAATAACCAAACAGACCAAACTACCTAAGTGGTTTTCACAATGCATTGTTCCACAGACATAGATGAGGCATAGATTTTCTGAGGATATCGATCAGGGTTACCATTACAGATAAAGGCAATAATACTATTAACTTTGTTATCTGCTCCGAGTTTCCAAGAGCTGCTCATAGGAGGTTAGGCAGGGGCTTTCAAATATTCATACTGTAGTACCAATAGTCAGGTGCCATTATTCACAGAAAACACAGTCCAAAACCCAATTTAAACTCTGACCACTCCCTGACAGACTCCTCTACATGGTCCTAGTTACCATTCAACTGCTTAACTATAAGATATCTCCCAGACTTGCTGAAACCAATTCCCAGGTACTGACCTCTTCAACAGCTAACTTCTGATATCTATTCAAAATAATGCTCTTCCCCAGTGACAATGCACCTGCAAAACCTTTTGATCAGGCATCAACCTGCAATTAACTTCCAGGCCTGGCCTTATCAATAAACAATGCCTTGTTTGGTCTGTTTTTCTTTTAAAATAAGCTGTTACCCATAGTCCAAAAATCACCTTTCACTCACAGTTCCCAGTTCACAGCTCCAAACCAAAATTGATAAATAATCAAAATAAAAACAATGGAAGATCAGCGAGGGCTTGAATACAGTTATAAAGGGAAATTGGATAAGATTGGGGCTGTTTTCCTTAGACCAGAGAAAGTTGAGAAGAGACATGATTGAGATGGATTGAGGGGCATAGATAAGGTAGATAAGCAGAACATTTTCCACTTGATGGAAGAATCGATGACCAGAGAACATAGATTTAATGCAAGGGCAGAAGGTATGTAGGAGATGTGAAGAAAAATGTTTTTAGCCAAAGGGTGGTGGGAATCTGGAACTCGCTGCCGGTATGGGTGGTAGAGGCAAATCCTTATAACATTTAAGAAATATTGAGATGTGCACTTGCAATGTGAAGACTGTGTGGTCAAGAGCTGGAAAATGGCATTAGAATAATTGTGAGACAACAAGGTGCAGGGCTGGATGAACACAGCAGGCCAAGCAGCATCATAGGAGCAGAGAGGCTGACGTTTCGGGCCTAGACCCTTCATCAGAGAAGGGGGTTCTGAAATAAATAGGGAGAGAGTGGGAGGCGGATAGGTGGAGAGGAAACAAACAGGTCGAAGAGGCGGGGATGGAGCCAGTAAAGGTGAGTGTAGGTAGGGAGTTATGAAGGGGATAGGTCAGTCCAGGGAGGACGGACAGGTCAAGGGGGCGGGATGAGGTTGGTCGGTAGGATTGTTATTGACTGTGTAGACATGATGAGCCAAAGAGCCTTATTCTGTGCTGTACATGTCTATCACTCTGCGACTTAGTATAATAAAATATACTGTACAAGAACTGTTAGTTTAAACCTTAGCCAAAATCCCAGTGCGTCTGTCTTTATTTGTTAATCTGTGGTCTCATGAGAGTACCAATTCTTGTTATCTTGGTACAGACTGATTATCTTTTCTCTCTGTAGAAATCCAAAAACCTACATTTTAAACGGAAAGAATTAAACTACAATGTTCACAGCTTAAACCAAAAGAATTATTCTTAACAAAAGGGAAAGAATGCCAACAGCAATAACTGTGTTAAATAACTAGTTTATGTAAAGATATTAAAAATACAACAAACTTTTATTGCACTGTGAACCAAAATTTTTAACTCTGTTTTTGTCCTACATCCATTTGACACAGATACAACGCAGTACAGTGAGGGTCTAAGAACTCTTACTCTCTGCCGTTAGCTTCACCATCCCAGAAATCCGATTTGTGCTTAGTAGAAAGTTTTGGTTTTCAAGGTCTTGAAATCCTTGAGCCAGCACACACAATTTCAACTGAACATTTTGTTGAAAGAGATGCCTTTTTTATTCACTTGTGGAACGTGTGCATTGCTGGCTGGCCAGCATTTATTGCCTGTCCGTAGTTGGCCTTGAGTCGGTAGTGGTGAGCTGCCTTCATGAAATGCATCAGTCCATATACTGTAGGTAGCGCCACAATGTCCTTAGGGAGGCAGTTCCAAGATTTTGACCCAGCAACTAGACTGTTCTAAACTTTCACAAGCACAGCAGTATGTCCTCAGAGTGGTCCTGAACTAACAAGTTTTTAAACTCATTTGTAGCCCATTCAAGTGTTTAAACATAAAAATAACCAGCAGCACAGCATTATGTTTCTTCCTGAAAGTTATTTGAGTAAGAAACGATTGTAAATACACTTTTAGCTAATGTTTAACCCCAAGGATGAAAGGTACATATGAAGATGAAAATGAAATCAGTCTCTTCTATTGCTGCATGCCTGCATTGTTTGAAGATTATCTTTCCCAAGTGAAGGTGTTGGAACTTGAAATCAGAATTTAGCAATTATGATGATTTGTGTTGTTGAGGAGTTAGAGTTTCCCCAACATGTGAACTTAGCAGAACATTTCCTGTGAGAACAGATGGCTCACTTGTTTCACTTTTATGGCACTGCAAGTCATGATTCTTGATAGGTACATGTGACAATAAATCAATCAATGAATTAATCAATCAATGATAGCCTGGTTGAGTACAGCAGTTCTGGATACCCTTCTCTGTCTCCCTTCCCTTGAGAAGCGGCATCTGCTTCAAGGTGTCTCTCATGGTCTCGGCACAAAGTGGCTGCTCGTAGCTAAACCTCTGTACTGGTCAAGAATTAAAATTGCAGCTATCCCAAAACTTGTTGATTGTGCTACCATATTAGGTTAGCCTAGGTCTGGATCACAGATCCATCCACTGTCTTTGAATCAAGGTCATTAACTTCTTTGGGGTGTGTTCATCCAGCTCTACACCTTATTATCATTAACTTCTTTATTAACTCTTATCTGTGGTTAACTCTTATCCTATCAGATTTGCAGTGAGAGATTTCTCCCACACAAAGCTATGTTGACTATCGCTAATTAGTCCTTACCTTTTCAAATACATGTAAATCCTGTCCCTCAGAATCCCCTCCAACAACTTGCCAATGACTGATGTCAAGCTCACCAGTCAATAGTCACTGGCTGTTTGTTACCATCCTTCTTAAACAGTGGTACCACATTATCCAACTTCCAGTCTTCTGGCACCTCACTTGCAGCTATTAATGATACAAATATCTCAGCAAGGGGCCCAGCAATCACTTCCCTCACTTCCTACAAAGTTCTAGGGTACACCTGATCAGGTCCTGGGGATTTATCCACCTTTATGCATTTTAGGATGTCCAGCACCATCACCTCTGTTACGTGAACACTTTTCAAGATGTCATTATTTACTCCTCAAGTTCTGTAGCTTCCATATCCTTCTCCACAGCAAAAACACTGATGCAAAATACTCATTCAGTATCTCACCCCTCTACTGCGGTTCCACACATAGGTGGCCTTGCTTATCTTTAAAGGGCTTTATTCCCTCCCTATATTAGTCTTTTGTCCTTAATGTATTTGTAGAAATCCTTGAATTCTCCTTAACCCTATTTGCCAAAACTATTTCATGTCCCCTTTATTTTCACTTCCTGATTTTGTTCTTAAGTATACTCCTATGCCCTTATAATCCTGTAGGGATTCATTTGATCCCTGCTGTGCATGAGTCTCTGTGAGCGCGAGTTGGAGCGTGAATGTCTGAGCGCGAGTTGGAGTGTGTGTGAGAAGGAGCAAGTGTCTGTGAGCGTGAGTGTCTGAGCAGAGGAGGAGTGTGAGTGATGAATACAAAGGCCAGTCACTATTTTTGAAACTGCAGAATTACACTTATGCATTCCAGTGGCTGGTTTTTACTATGCAGTAGCAGTGAAATTTTCTTTTCACATGATTCAAAGTATCAAACCTGTTCATCTAAAGAAATATAATGAAATGTTGGGCATGCCTGAAATCTTAGTCCATTTTTAAGGACTGCCTACTCAACTCTGTTTGGCCCTTGCTCCAGATGTTTTTATATTAAGTGTCTTGAACCGTTTTAGTTATGCTGCTATTTTACTCTAGTTTATGTTGCTTTTCTCAGCAGTATTAAGCTGTCTGAACATGTTTGGTGGAAATATGTGAAATTGCTTGCTGAAGCTCTGACTGTGTGAAACTCCCCATATGGCTTCTGGTATGGAGTCTAAGGCTGAGGGTCCTCCTGTCTGGGGTGCAACATCTGAACAGGATCAGGCAGCTAGCCAGGTGAGTGGAGTCTATCTGATCTTTTCTCATTGAGATGGGAATCCCTTTATATGTCTGGTGCTTGATCTCTGATTTATTGGTTAGGCAGGTTTTTCTGCTCAATATTCTGCATTCTAGTTTCAACCAAACTAGAATGCACTTGGGCTATTCTGAGTTGGAGTTGGAGATGTGGAGAACTGAGATACGGGAAAGATGTGAGAGATGGAGTGAAGAAAGGGAAGTTTCTATTGGCCAAATGAATCACTTGTTTCTCTTCTAACTAATTAAGTGCCCAGGTTTAATGTTGCCTCCTATTAGACTACCTAATGGGTATGTATTGACTGCAGCTCCAAGTTGATGACCAGGGCCACACTAATTTGAAATAACTGATGTTAATTTCTGTTTTACGATGTGTAGAGTTCCAAGCTTTCACCTGGTGTTTCGTTTATCAGATTCTAGGATCATGTTGCAAGATGGGATGTTTTGTTATAACTCTGTTGATCTCTTTTTGAGTGAAATTATATGTGTGCTTTTAAATAACAAGCTCTGTTTCTGCAGTCTTCTATGCGACACTAAGGCCTGGCTTGGATTGAAATAAAAAATTCCATATTCAGAGAGTGATAGAGCATAGAAAAATGTCATTCAGACCATAGTGCCAATGCTTGATCTTTGTTAAGAATCATTCAATCATTCAATCATTCCACTCCCCTGCTGTTCCCTCATAGCCCCTAATTTATTTCCCTTGAAGTTTTATCTAATTCTCTTTTTGAAAATTATTATTGAATCTGACTCTACCATCCTTTAAAATAGTGATTCCTGATCACAACAACTTGATATACCAAAAGTTTTTTTTTAAAAAAAATTATCTTATGACTCCAATTTATTTCACAGCATCATGAGTGTAAAGACCGTATCATTTTATTTTCTGTATTTTTGATTGGGGAACTGAATTGGAAAAAGGGCTATTTTACAAGGAAGGCCTGAGGAAAGAATTGCTACAGTTTTAGAAAGCAAGTTTCTGAAACTCTGGTTACATTGCTGCTTTGCAAGCAGTGGGGGAGAGTGTAAAATGATGGTATGGCAGTAGGGTGTATGTACAGAGTGATATTTGGTCAGCAACAAGTAGCTGATTGATTTGTGCAATTATAACCAGTCCATGGATGTTGAAAGTCATCAGTCTGACAACAATTCTCTTGATTCCTGGCTAGCTGAACAGCTTGTGGTGTGAATGATACAGGAAGAGCTCCTGAACCTCTAGAAAGGGAAGTTAATTTCTCTGACCCATTGGTTAAAAGCAACAGTTTATAACAATAAGTCAGAGATTTTATTATTTGTGAACCAATCACTCTTGCCTTTTGTAAAGAAGTGAAAGAACCCAAAAAAGATTGGTGAAGACAAGTATTAGTCCATTACAACCAGAAACAGAGGAATTTATAATGGGGAGCAAAGAAATGGCTAACCAACTAAAGACATACTTTGGTTCTATCTTCATAAACAAGGACATTAATAACATTTCAGAAATGTTGGGGAACTTAGTGAGAGGAGGGACTGAAGGAAATCAGTTTTAGAAGGGAGGTGGTATTAGGGATGCGAGGAAGATAAATCCCCAGGACCTGATAACATACGTCCCAGAGAATTAAGGAAGTGTCCCTAGAAATAGTAGAAACATTGGTTATCTTCCAAGATACTACAGACTCTGGAACAGTTCTTATGGATTGGGAAATAGTTAATGTAACCCTCTCTTTAAAAAGGGATGCAGAGAAAACACCGGAAATTATAGACTAGTCAGCTTGACAGCAGTAATGGGGAAATTGCTAGAGTTATTATAAAAGGTTTAATAGCTGAGCTCTTGAAAAAACAGTGGCAGGATTGGGCAGAGTCAGCATGGATTTACAAAGGGAAGGGACAAATCTTCCAAATGTTACGGACTAGATCAAACCCCTCAAAATATATGAAGACGACAACCTGGACCCTAACATTTCATATTTTAAAAGCAAGTGCCAGATGTTGTTGTCCAGATGCAATGTGATTTGTCAACAACTAGTCTTGAAACAAAACACGCTTTATTTATACACTATGGTTAAAATACAACAAAAGAAAGAAGTGGAATACCTTAACTGTGTTGGAGAATTTAACAGAATGATAGATTATTGAAACAGTAGTAGTTAAATATAGTAACATCCCATATACACACCGTTAGCAAATGTAAATTCAGTGAAATAGATTGCCTGGCATGTAATTCTAAAAGCAGGAAGAGACCCCAGCTTTTCACCGTAACCAAGAGAGAAAAAACAACTTCCATATCCAGCTTCAATACCCCAGCAACTGCTCATGAAGGCTAAAACAAAAAAAATGCTGTTTGTGTGGGAGCTTGACCCGACGCATTCAGGCTGCTTTTATTGTTACAACACTTTTTTTTAAAAAAAAAACACCCAAGGCCTCTCAATCTGTTTACTTTATTGGCTTCGGAGCAGACTGCTCAGAGCCTCTGTCTCCATCTTTCTTCATGCATAAAAGGAGAAAAACACCTCTTAAAGCCATAGTATGTTGTCACACAGAATTCAAGGTTCTAATTCATGGAGTTGATGAGGGGGAGCCAGTAGATGTGGTTCACCTAGAATAGTGTGCAAAATTAAAGTCCACAGCATTGGGGTTAATGTATTGAAATGGATAGAAAACTGGTTGACAGACAGGAAACAAAGAGCAGGAATAGGTCTTACTCTGAATGGCTGGCAATGGCAAGTGGGATTAGTGCTAAAGCCCCAGCTATTCACAAATATTCATAGATATGTGAATAGATCTCGGAAATATGTAAAAACAGAGTTGTTGCAGTGGATGATTTTAATTTCCTCAATATTCACTGGGATTCCCTTTGTGCCAGGGACTTTGATTGGCAGAATTTGTTAGGTGCATCCAAAAGGGATTGTTGAAACAATATCAAGATAGACAACTAGGGAAGGGGGCCATTATTAGACCTTGTATTGGGAATGACCTTTCCAGTGATCAAAATTTCAGTAGGGGAGCATTTTTGGAACCGTGATCATAATTCCATGAGTTTTAAAGGAGTTACGGATAAGGATAAGACTGGTCCTCAGGTGAAAGTGCTAAATTGGGGAAAGGCTAATTACGAGAGTATTAAGCAAGAACTGGAAAAATTAGATTGGGTATAGTTGTTTGAAGGCAAATCCACATCTCACATGGGGAGTCTTTCCAAAGCCACTTGACCAGAGTTCAAGACTAGTGTGTTCCTGCGAGATGAAAGGTAAGGATGGCAAGATTCAGGAACTTCTGATGACAAGGGATGTTATAAATGTTGTAACTTTAGTTAAAAAGAAAAATGAAGCATGTGTAAGGTTTAGGAATTAGAATTAATCAAAGCCTTTGAGCATAAAGGAAATGAAGAGGGCTAGAAGGGGCCATGAAACGTCATTGGCAAGTCGGATTAAGGAGAATCCCAAGGCATTCTGTATGTATGTTCGGACCAAGAGGGAAATTTAGATCCATTGAAGGATAAAGGACGAATTTATGTGTTCTGCCAGAGGGCGTGGTTGAAGTCCTTAGTGAGTACTATGCATTGGTATTCACCAGGGAGAGAGACATGGATGATGGTAAGTTTAGAGACTAGTATGTGGATATTCTGGGCCATGTTGAGAATTAAGATGGATGAGGCATGGGGTGCCTTGAAAAACATTTTAAGGTAGATAAATTCCCAGGGCCTGATGGGTTCTATCACAAGATACTGAAGGAGGCAAGAGAGGAGATTGCTAAGGCCTTGACAGGGAACTTGTATCTTCTTTAGCTACAGGCGAGGTCCAGAAGACTGAAGAATAGCCAGGGTTGTTCCTTGGTTCAATAAGGGCAACAACAATAATAAAGGGAATTATAGTACAGTGAAGCTTACATCAGTGGTTGGGAAATTATTGGAGAAGATTCTTAAGAACAGGATTTGCTTGCGTTTACTTGGAGACGAATGGACTTATTAGGGATAGTCAGCATGGCTTTATGCGGTGGAGGTCTTGTCTCAAAAATTTGATTGAGTTTTATGAGGGAGTGATGATGAGGATTGATGAGGGTAGGGCACTGGATGTTGTTGACGTGGATTTTATGAAAGCATTTAACACAGTTCCTCGTGGTAGGTGGTCCAGGCAACAGGGTGTCCTTGTTCATGAATCACAAAAAAACTAGCATTCTGGTTCACTGAGTAGTAGAAAATGCAAATGGAATGTTGTTTCTATTTCAAAGGGAATTAAGTGTAACAGTAAGGAAGTTTAGCTAAACTATACATGGAAGAAGTCAGAACACAGCTGGAATATTGCGATCAATGTTGGGCCCCTTAGTTACGGAAAGATAAACTAGCATTAAGGTTCACTGGGCTGATACCAAGTTCAGAGGGACTGATTTATGAGGAGATGTTGTGTAGATGTGGCCTGTACTCATTGGAATACAGAAAAATGAGAGGTGACTTTATTGAAATATACAAGATGCTTTGGGATTTGACAGGGTAGTTGCATAAAGGTTGCTTTCCCTTATGGGAAAGTTTGGCACAAGAGGGAATCATCTCGGAATAACAGATCACACATTTGAGACAGTGATGAGGAAGAATTCCTTCTCTGAGGGTAGTGTAACTGTGAAATTCCCCACTACAGTGAGCTGTTGAGGCTGGATTGTTAAGTATATTCAGGACTAAAGTAAACTGAGATGAATCAGGAAGAGAATCAAGGATTAAGGGGAAAAGGTAGAAAAGTGGAATTAAGGATTATCAGCTTAGCTATCACTTCGTTGCATGATGGAGCAAACTCAATGGCTAAATAGCCTAATATTGCTCCTGTGCCCTGTGGTTTCATACTGTACCTCACTTCCAACACATTACCCATAGACAAAGGGATAAATTCCAGAACATATGGGAACTGTTCAGCCTGTGTTACTTTCAAAACAAAACCAAAACCAATCCATTCTCTGTTCTAGAGCTTCGATTTGTAGATGTCAATGTGTGCCCTTACTCAAAAGTTGAGCTTCAGGTGATTATTGGCCCCTTAAGGATGTACTTGCATCGGAATCAGTTCAAAGAAGGTTCGCAGGATTAATTCCAGAGATGAAAGGCTTGTTGTACGAGAAGAGATTGATGGGGAGAAATAAATGTTCAGTTGTATGTTATAGCTCTTCTGGATATAAAAAATAGATGCTAAAGGGGATCGACAAAGTAGACATAGAGAGCAAATTTGGGCAATCTAGAGCAAAAGTTTATAGTTTTTAGGTTAAATGGTGGCAGATTTAAAACAGAGATGAGACCAAATTACTTCTCTGAAAGGGTTGTGAATCAGTGGAAATCACTAGACCCCAGATTGTAGGCATTGGGACATTGAGTAAATTTAAGGAGGCGACATTGGTAACAGGTTGAAGGGCTATGGGCAGTGGCCAAAAAGTGGAGGCCAAGATGAGATCAGCCATGATCATGTTAAATTGCAGAGCCAGCTCGAGGGGCTGAATTTCTTGCTGCTGGTCCAAGTTCTTATTTTTTTATGTTCTCCGAAGCGTGATGGGAAAATTGACCTTTCATGAAGCACATGAGAAACTAAGGTCCTGTTCCAGCCAGCTCTCACAGCAAAGCACCTCCCTCTGCTATTTAAGATTAATGGTGAGACTCCGGAAGTGTAGACTATTTTCTTTATCTTGGCAAGCTCTTGATGATGGAGGAAGGCTTAGGCGATGAAGTTAAAATTCATCATTGTCTCCTATGTTCCAGATCTGATGTTAGGTGGAACTAGAGATTAAGCCCATGTTTTAGTAGACAGCTCTCATCCTTGTGCTCCTCTTGGCTTCAGAGACTTGGACAACTGACAGCGGTGCCCTCAAATTATTGAGATGTATTGCCAGCAGTGCCCTCACAGGATCCTGCTAATAAGGTAGCGAGAAAGAGGGTCCATCAGCAGCACCCTCTCCCAGGCAACTTCCGTAGCATGAACGTGCCAGAAGACTCCTCTTCTCTTCTGTTTTATTTGTCTATTCAGTGGAGCCTCTTGTTATCTCAGCAGGTCTGGCAGCATCTGTGGAGACAAATCAGAATAAATGTGTTTCGGGTTATGTGACCCTTCCTCAGAACTGATGGTAGCTAGGAAGATGTCAGTTTATATGCAGAAGATAGGGTGGGGGGAGGGTGTAAGGATAAAGACAGTGGGGGATAAGGCCAACGAGAGGGAAGAACAGTTGGACAGACAAAGGAGTGGATAACGATCTGGCTAGGACGGTGAACAAGAACTTGAACAAGGAACTTTTTTTTTCCTTTCAGGCATCAAAGCACACAAGATGCAACAACTTAGAGATACCCAAGAACCTCCAGAAGTTTCTTCTATTCTCCTTCCCCCTGATTCCATCCCCTTCCCCAACCCTGCTGTCATGTATATACTGTCCCTCCTAAGCTTGGGCTCTCTGATACTGAACGTTCTGTACTCAGCAAAGGTCTCAGTTTTATCCCTCTGCATTCCCACCTTAATGAATTTTGGGCACGGCATAATGTTGAACTCTTCTTCCGTTGTCTTTGCTTCCGTGCCCACTTTGTCCACAGACCCCTTAGCCATCTCCAACACTCTCCTCCACCTGGACCCCTCCCTCTGGCCTTTGACCTGCATTTGACCTGTTCATTGAGAACTGTCGACATGACAAAGCTTGCCTCAATTCCCCCCGCAACCCTGCCACTGCTCCCTTACTCATTCCAACCTATCCTTCTGGGAACTGACTGCACTCCATGCTCTCAGATCCAACCCTGTCTTTGTAATTAAGCCTGCTGACAAGGGTGGTGCTGTTGTTGTCTGGCAGACCGATCGCTACAATACAGCAGCTGAGCGCCAGCTCTCAGATACCTCCTCCTATCTCCCACTGGACCATGACCCCCAATGGAACATCAGGCCATTGTGTCAGCTATGGTCACCAACCTCATTTCATCCGGTGATCTCTTTCCCCCACTGCCTCCAAGCTGATAGGCTGGCTGCCAACATCCAGTATAAACCCACTGACTCCCACAATTACCTTGATTCGACATTGACTCACACCCTGAACATAAAAGAATACAGCACAGCAACGGGCCCTTTGGCCCACAATGTTGTGCTGAACATGATGCTGAGTTAAATGTTCATGTTCATGTGCTTGTCTAAACGTGCCTTAAACGTCCCTATTGGATCTGCCTCCACCACCATCTGTGTGGAAAAAAAATTGCCCCTCACATCTTCTTTGAACTTGCCCCGTCTTGCCTTAAACGCATGCCCCCTTGTATTAGACACTTCAACTCTTGCATAAAAGATTGTGGTAGTCAGTCCTATTCATCTGTCTCTTTGGGCTTATCCCAACCTATCGTTTACTCCTTAGCCCCTGCCTGCACCTTTATCTTCTTCTTCTTATAAACCTGACATTTTCCTAGCTGCTGTAAGTTCTGAGGAAGGGTCACTCGACCTGAAACATTAACTCTGATTTCTCTCCCCAGATGCTGTCAGACCTGCTGAACTTTTCAAGCAATTTCTGTTTTTGTTTCTGATTTACAGCGTCCACAGATTTTTTTTGTTTTTATTTCCTCTTGTCATCTCATTGTCGCAAACAGTTTGTCAATCATAGGAAGCCAGTTAAGAATTGATGTGGGTTTTAGCTCTAAGGGTAGGTTGGTTTAGATGTGTGATAATCTGAGGCTTCTTGGTTTGTTTCCTCTGCAACCCCACATGTTCTTAACCAGATATGTTCCTTCCAAGGTACATTTTGTTCCGGAGAGCAATGCAGTTGCTCAGATTGTTTACACAGATGAACAGGACCGACCACCACAGCAGGTGGTTTACACAGCGGATGGCACATCGTACACATCTGTGGATGGGACAGAACATACTCTGGTGTACATTCATCAATCTGATGGAGCACAGGTATGCAGTCATTGCAGTGAGGATGTTCAGCCATTACAGTTGTATGGAATTGGGTGACTGGAAGTATTGTTTTTAGTTGTAGAGATGTACAGCACTGAAACAGACCTTTTGGTTCAACTCGTCTCATGCTGACCAGATATCCTAAATTAATCTAGTTCCATTTGCCAGCATTTGACCCATATCCCTGCAACTTCCTAGTCATCTACCCATCCAAATGCCTTTTAAATGTTGTAATTGTACCAGCTTCCACCACCTCCCCTGGCAGCTCAATCCAAACACACTCATTCCATATGTGCTTCTGGGGTTCTTTGAAAGGAGACTGGTCTAAGCAATCTGTGAGCCGTATGTCTGCAATGGGGAAATTGGTTGGGTCATGGGCAAGAGGGCTACCTGTACACAAGTGAGTGGGATTTTTTCATGTACACACACCTTCGCACACCAGCCTGTGCTAGCTATGTGTTGATAGCTGAATTGAATCTCTTCAGGATATTGGTAAGCATCTTAGCTTGGGCTGTGAGAGTATCCAAACCACTGATGCAGGTGAAGTTGCAATCTGATAGTTTTCTCCATGTATGATATCAGTAACCCAAGTACAGTGTGGAAGTTGTTGAAGCTAATGGTGAATCGGGAAGATTTGGCATCAAATTTGAGATCTACAGATTATCATCTGTCTTAGAGTCTCTTGATGTAGCTGAGAATCAAAGTCTGTGTGATTTTAATATTTTTGTTCCCTGCTTTGCAATGTTTTACTATATTCCTGCTGCTGTGTCTGTTTATATTACTGTAATGTTTCAAACTGCTTTTCTGCTGAGGAATGAATGAGTGAAGCTTTTTAAGGACTTGAAACACCTGTTGATTGGTATCTTTAATTGAAATCAGGAACTGTACTGTTTAATGTTTCTGTTTTACAAGACTGTTTTCGCAGACCAGTCCCAGGTCGCATACATCCAACAGGATGCAACTACCCAGCAGGTAAGAAGACAAAAGATTCAACCCTGATCTGTGCAACATTTCCATTGTGTGAGAAACTGATAAACTGAAGTGTGATACATGCTTTTTCTGATGGAACAATAATTGCGTACTGCACATGAGCAGACACTGTACCTCACGACAAGCTGATAGTGGGCTCCTTGTGTCCTGTATATTAAGGCTTGTCATTGTTTTTCATATGTACAGCTTATGAAGACAGGCTGGTTTTGAGTTCCTGTCATTTGTTGCAGGAAAACACCTTCAAGAGAAGGCAATGAAACCAATTAAAGGTTGTTTCTTTGGCTCCCTATCCTATCTTATAGAATCATAGAGATATACAGCATGGGAACAGGCTCTTTGGCCCAAACTCCTCCATGCTGACCAGTTTCCTAAGCTGAACTAGTCCCATTTGCAAATATTTGGCCTGTATTCCTCTAAACTTTTCCTATTCGTGTACCGGTCCAAATGTCTTCTAAATGTTGTAATTGTACCTGCCTCTACTACTTTTCTCTGGCAGCTCATTCCATATATGCACCAACCTCTGTGAAAAAGTTGCCCTTCAGATCCCTTTCCCCTCCCTCCTCATACCTAGCTGCTTTTTGTGTTAATACTTCTCAGCTAACGTTCACCAGCAGCCTAAGAAATTGTTTGCAGGCATTGATAGCAGTTCATTTTAAGTAATTCTTTCTGGTATTTTACTTATACTTCCCTGAATGCCTGAGGTTAATGTAAAATGCATTGAATTTTAAAGCAAGTGTCGTGTAGAAAGAGGTGATTCAGCCAACTGTAGAATGAAGCAACACAGACAGAAGCCGTAAAGATTTAGCATCATACTCTTGCTTTTGTACACTGTTCCTGTAATTATTGAATCAAAGTGTCCCAATCCTTTCTCAATCTGTCCTGTCAATTTCAAAGAATTTGACCTCAAAGTGTCTCATTCCCTCAATCCCTCTCAGAATGATACCATTGAGTTTATATTGCCATTTCTCATTTGTTGGACCAAAATGTATCACTTTACTACATTGAATCTCATCTGCCATGTACCTATCCATGTGATAATTTGCCTTTGTGAAAAACAAAATACTGCAGATGCTGGAAATCTGAAATAAGAACAGAAATTGCTGGAAATCTGAAATTAGAACAGAAATTGCTGGAAATACTCAGCGGGTCTGACAGCACTTTTAGTGAGAGAAACAAGGTTAACGTTTAAGCTGGATAACTTTTTATTAGAACAGATGAAACAGAACACTGAGTTGAAATATCAGCTCCTTTTGCATATGCTACCAGACTTAATCAACATTGCTGGGAAGATGCCAGCATTGCTACGGGAGCAAGGCTAAGGGCACAGCTAGTTCTGAGCACAAGTCTTTAGTTATATTGCTGGCATGCAGTATACAGTTACATGCAGTCAACAAAAGAATAATATGCAGGTCCAGCAAGAAACAGGACTGTTGGTCTTTATTGTGGGGGTGAGGGGTGGGGGGGCGGTGCAGTGGTGTGTAAGTATAGACGTATGGAAGTCCTGCTACAGTTGTTTTGGGAATTGGTGAGACAGCACCTGGAGTAACTTCTTGTTTGTAGTTTGCAGTTTTTGTCTCCTTTTAAAAAGTAGGGTTATAATTGCATTGGAAGCAGTTTAGAGAAGGTTCACTTGGCTGATTTCTGGGTTGAAAACATTATTTTGAGCAGAAAGGTTGTACAGTTTGGGCCTATTTCAGTATCCAAGGTTCAACCATCAATTGCTTTATCAATAACCCTCCGTCCATTATACGGTCAGAAATGGGGATGTTTGCCGATGATTGCACAATGTTTAACACCTTTCATGACTCCTCGGATACTGAAGCAATTCATGTGGAAATGTAGCAAGACCTGGATAATATCCAGGCATGTGCTGAAAAGTGGTAAGTAACATCTGCGTCACACAAATGCCAAACAATGATCATCTCAAATAAGAGACACATTAACCATTGCCCCTTGATTTTCAATAGTGTTACCATCACTAAATTGCCAGCTATCTAGATCCTGGGGTTTCCATTGACCAGACATTGTACTAGCCATATGAATTCTGTGGCTACAAGAGCAGGTCAGTAGACAGCAATTCTGACTCCCTAAACCTGTCCACCATCTACAAGGCACAAGTCAGTGAGATGGATTAGTCACTACTTGCCTGGATGAGTGCAGCTTCAACAACACTCAAGAAGCTCTAGGATAACACACACCACTTGACTGATGCCCTACTCACCACCATTCATTCCCTACAACCAAAGGGTGGCACGGGTGGCTCAGTGGTTAGCACTGCTGCCTCACAGCACCGTGGAC